CAATGATAACTACAGCTCTTTCTATCCCTTATATCTTATCCAGGCTACTTAGGGCAGGTAGCACTCACACCCTTAATCCTAGTGCCCTTGAGCCTAGAATTGCATCACGAATCAATTCCAGTGTCACACACTCTAGATCCAGCCAGCTCTGGAAAAAGCTCCACCTATGACTGCATGAGGCTTTAGGGGGAGATCTAGACACAAGCCATAACACCATGGAACATAAGTCTTGCAGGGTCTTTATCATCCAAGATGCCTGAGACCTGGGTGGTGTCACATGTGAGCACCACTGTGTAGCAGAAGCTAGAAAGCTCCTGGCTGAAAGTTCAAAGGACCAGGTGGTTGACCCTTAAATATCCCCTTCATAGGGGAGAGGGGAGGAAGGGGCAGGCGCAGGCAAGATTAGAAGAGGAGTAAGTGATGTTTAGAGAAATGAATGAGACTAGAGATCAGACAATGGCCTGAGACGTAGTTCCTCTGGGATCCAGGTGTGGTGTTTGATTTTTACCCTTCCTCTCTGAGATGAATTTAATTTTTGTTGGTTGGTTGGTTGGTTTTTGTTTTTGTTTTTGAGACAGGATCTCACTATGTAGTTCAGGCCTTAAACTCACTGTGTAGGCCAGGTTGGCCTCAAACTCGAGGTGATCCTCCTGCCTTATAATTTTTCTTTTCTTTTTTTAATTTGGTAGGGGGATCGAACTCAGAACCTTGTGCTTGCAAGGCAGGTGCCGTGTTGCTGAGCTAAATCCCCAGCCCTAATTTTTCTTAATTAGTGAAATTTAAGTAAGAAGATTAAAGATGGTTGTGTTCCACTTTGGGTTTTAGATAGTTCTGGAAACTGGGAGAAAAAGATCAAGAGAAGGGGAATAAGGGCCAGGGATTTAGCTCAGTGGCACCTCACCTGCCTCACAAGTGCAAGGTCCTGAGTTCAATCCCCGGTACCAAAAAAAAAGAGAGAGAGAAGGGGAATGAGAGGGAAGACCAGAGAGATTTGAGGTTGTCAGAACACCATATTTTGGGGTACCGTTTTCTGAGACCCAACAAGGGGGAATTGGTAAACCTCTCTGGACTCCATTTTCTTTCTTTTTTTTTTGGTACCAGAGATCGAACTCGCAACCTTGCGCTTGTGAAGCAGGCGGCAGAACCATTGAGCTAAATCCCCAGCCCTGGACCCAATTTTCTCATTTTAAAATGAGAGCAGGGGATTTAGCTCAGTGGTGCCACCACCTGCCTCACAAGCCCAAGGTTCCGAACTCGATCCCTGGAACCAAAAAAAAAAAAACAAGACCCCTGCCATCCAGAAGCTAAGAGTCAGTGGCATGTACCCAAAGGGATTAAGGTCAGCATTGGGATACCTATGCTTATCATGGCACAATTTACAATAGCCAAGGCATAGAACCAATCTAAGTGCCCATCAACAGATGAATGGATAAAGAAAATGTGGTGTATATACATATTGGCATTATTCAGCCATAAAGAGAACAAAGTTTTGTCTTTCCAAGGATGTACCAGAGGTGGTCATGTGAAGTGAAATAAGCCAGACTCAGAAAGACAAATATTGCATGTTCTTTCTAATATGTGGAATCTAAAAAAGATGACATGAAAGTAGAAGGGAGACTATTATTAAGCAAGAGGAAGGGAATAAGGCAGAGGGAGTGGAAGGTAGAGAACTGGGAGTGCGGATTTGATCAAAAGATATTGCATGCAATGAAACCCAATATTTTGTAAAATTAATAGGCACTAATAAACAATTTTTAAATACATAAAAGAAAATATACCAAATGAATCTATGGTGTGAATACTGAAGAATAAAGTTATTCGCAATGTGAAAAAAAAGGAAGTTTACAGTTAGGCTGGGGATGTAGCTCAGCAGTAGAGCACTTGCCTAGCATGTGTAAGCCCTGGGCTCCATCCCCAGCCCGAAGAAGAGGAAGAAGAGGAGGAGGAGGAGGAAGGTGTATACAATCTATTGAGGGAGAAAATATCAATCAAAATAATCATAGGAGGGCCAGGGATTTAGCTCAGTGGTGCCACTGCCTTCCTTGCAAGTGCAAGGTCTTGAGTTCGATCGTCGGTACCAAAAACAACAAAAATAATAATCATAGGAATTTTGGTGCTATTAAAACAAATGCTAGAAAGGAAGGTCAGAGAAGGCTTCCTTAGGAAGGTGCTGCTGGACTGAGTTGTGAAGGGCAAGTTGTAGTAGATAAGTGCTGAGAAGAAAGAAGAGCATTCCTGGCAGAGGAAAGAGCAGGGGCAGAAGGTGGTGGCAGGAGGAATCGTGAAACAAAAAAGATACGAGACAGAAGAGCACAGAGACCAAGAAGTGTGGGGAGAAAAAACTTCCCCTCCATCCTCTTAGGGTTTTTTTTTCCTGGCTCTGAAAATGAACCAACCAAAGATAGCTTCTTGTTCTCTTTCCGGGATTAAAAGCTGCCCTGAAGAGGAAGTTTATGATAGCCCCGTTTCTCAGATATTTTTGCTCTTAGTCAGATAAGCAAGCTCTGCAAAGCCTTCTTCTACATCTGTTGAATACTAATAACTTCACCTTAAATAATCTTCATACCAGGCCGGGAATTTAGCTCAGTGGTTTTGCCACGTGCTGCACAAGCACAAGGACCCGAGTTCGATCCCCGGTACCAAAAAAAAAAAAAAAGACCAAGAGGAATGGAAGGATTTTAAGCAGGAGAGCTGCAGGATTATATATGTTGAACTTGGGGAGCATTTGAGAAATTTAGAAGTGGATGACAACCAGGAGCTTAGAAGCGAGCCCTACAGATCTGTGTATGAGTCATCTGTGCATAGATGGTAATTATAGACCAGAGTGTGGACGAGATTGACTAAAGAAAAATGTACAGGGACATAATGTTCCTCTCCACCCGCCTATTAATTAAAAAGCAAAAGGAAAAGAAAGAGATAAGGTGGTAAGGAAGGAAAGCTGTCTTGTAAGAAACTAGCACATTTCCGGGTTTGCTCTCTCTCCTTCTGAACATTGAGCCCATTAGAGATAAAATGACACATTAGAATCATTCCAAAGTTAGGCCGAGCAATGCTGTTTAATCAAACTTGGCCTCAAACCAACCTGAGACCCTGATTTAGGCCAGCAAGGTGTTGAGAGATTGTCTCCTCCCCTCCAGGCCATAGATGTACTAACCCTTTGAAAATGTTTGTCATTGACTAGAGTTCCTGGAACCAAAACCTTCCTCAGGCCTTGACTTGGGAATGAAATGTCAAGGGCAGTGCTGCTGGACAGACCTCCCTGCGGGCCTCTCCACCTCCGATTTTTCTAGAAAGGCTCCCAGAGCGCCCATGGTGAAAGCAAGGAATCTTTTTTAAATGCCTCTCCCTAGGGTGTTTCAAAGTCTAGGTCTCTGTGATAAAGACAGCTAGCATTTGTAGAGTACTTTCTACCCTTAGAGGCACTGCCAGCCCCACAGCTGCTGAGGGAGCTGAGGCCTGTGGCTGGTTGAACGTGGTTGGTAAATTGTAGCGTGAGAATCACATTCAGTCTTGTGAATCCCCTTAACTTTCACACATACTCTGTATTCGGCCTACATGGGCTGCTGCTGATGGAGCCTTCCCAGCCTTCACAAAAATCCCCTTTCTCCATTAAGATTTGCTTTCTGTCAAGCCTGGGGCCTCCCAGCATCTTTGCTGAGGCCTCTTCCCAGACAATTTCTGAGAACTTACTACTGCCTCCTTTGAGTTTTAAAAAACAAAAGTTTTGAAGCCAGGCATGGCGGTGCATGCACACCTATGATCCCAGCACTTGGGAGACTGAGGCAGGAGGAGCCCTGTGAATTTGAGGCCAGCCTGGACTGTGCAGTGAGACTCTGTCTTAAAAAACCAAAGGAGGAGGAAAAAAAGGAAAATCTAGAAGAGCACACGAAGAAAATTAAATTATTCCTAATTATAAAACCTTGAGAAAAAAAAAAAACCTTGAGGTTTCATGTTTTGTTTTGTCTTGTTTTGCAGTACTAGGGATTGAACTCAGGGCCTTTGCACTTAGCTACATCCTCAGCCCCTTTAAAAAAATGTATTTATTTTTACTTTAAAATGGTTAATTTTATTTTATATGAATTCCACCTCAATAAAACCAACCCACCAAACAAACAAACAAAAAAACCACTTCATGCTTCTCACTGTTTTGTAAAATTCCCCTTTTTATTTATTTTTTATCTTGAGATACTGTCTTACTAAGTCCCTAAATTACCAGGCTGGGCTCTAACTTTCATCTAACCATCCTCCTGCCTCAGCCTCCCAGAGTGCTAGGATTATAGGTGTGCTCCACCATGCCCAGTTGAGATAATCATTTTAAACAGCTTGATTTATTTCCTTCTGTGCAGCATAATTCTCAGAGCACTACTGATCCCAGGGCTCCTTCCCCTGCAGCTCCTGACTCTTGAGTATTGGTGATATTCATAGAAGAGCTCAGCTAAAGAGCCACTATCAGAAATAATGACAGAATGGGGAAAAAATAAGAACCAAGATACATCATGTACAGGTACAAACACCCAATGGTAAATGTAAATGAATTGTATACCTAAAATGTACCAATAAAAGGACTTAGAGAAAAAAAAAAAAGAAATAATGACAGGACACCCTTGCCTTCTGGAACCTTCTCCCTTCACCCTCAGTGAGGACTTTCTCAGCAAAGGGACCCTCACAACACTGGGTCCTGCTGTCTTCTGGCCTCCGGATTTTGGAAATAGTGGAGAAATTTGCAACATTGTTATATCCTTTCCTCCCTGAACTTCTTACCCTACACATAAGGATGATTTCACTCAAATATGAGCCTGGCTTGGTAAGAAGGAAGACACATCTCCCAAACTAATATGAATGACAGGAACAGCCCTGGTCACTATGGAGATCACCCAGCCCTCTGGACCGGTGCCGTCAAAAACAATATAATGTGAGCTGCATAGGCAATTTTAAATTTTGTAGTAGCCACATAAAGAACAAATGAAATTAATTTTAATAGCATTTTATTTAACCCAAAAATGAAAATATTGTATCAGCAATAATAGTTCAACTATTATCAATGTCCATTCTTTTTTCCAGTGCTAAGCCTTTGAAATCTGGTGTGTATTTTACCTCGCAGTGGAGCAGCTGCAGGTCAAGCTCGAGGTGGCCATAGGTGCTAGGCAGCCGCGTAGGACACTGCAGTTCCAGACCAATTTTAGCTTCCTTCGGTGACCTGCAGCAGCCTTCCCCACCTCATCCCCATCCTCAGGGCATCCCCCAGCTGGTCCTACAGGACCTGAAGGGATGGAGAAAGGGCTGTTTTCTACACTGGTCTGATCCTGCCCTTCAGCCCACCAGTTGCCAAGAAGCCAAAGCTGAAGGCTCCTCTGCAGATCTGCCGATGATATGCATGGTGGCTTCTCAATCATCAAGCTCAGAGGGCCTTCGAGGGAGGCAGGAGAAGCCGGTCCCCTCCTTGGGGTCCTCCAAAGGCTTCCCCCTGTGTGCAAAAGAAAGCCAGGCGCCGCGGTCTGCCTCTCAGTGTCAATCTATTTCTCACGATTTACCTCTAGGTACCTTGGCTAAAGCTGACCGACAGCGACCAGGCACCAAAGATGCGCCCGGCATTTCCCTGCTACCAGGGCCTGGGGTGCGCTTGACTCCCTCCCGGCTTGTCTGCCCTCACCTACTCCCCTCCTGCCAGTTCTCCCACCCTCTCAGCTCTTCTCTGAAGCCCACCCCTTTTTATTTTAGAGTGCCAAGCACATGCTAGACAAATGCTCCATCACAGAGCTGCACCCCCAAACCCCTGAAGCCTTCTTTAAAGAATCCTGCTTGAAGGGTCCTTGTCTTCTAACATCTAGAGCACATTGTGAGCAATAACCAGGTTGGCAGTGCTGTATTTCAGGACTTACCAAATATTTACTTTCCCCTTTTGGTGTAAATACCTGAAAGGGAAGAGTGTAAGTGTTAGTAATAATAAACAACGACTACCTTCTTACTGGGCTAAGCACTTGACATTGAATTTTCACAACTACCCCAGGAATTGTTCTCATTTTATAGGTGAGAACGCAGAGACAAAGAGAGGAGCTGACCCAGCCACTCAGCCAGCTAAGGGAGGACTCAGGCTTCAGCAGGCTGAGAGACATGGAGCCTGACCCTTGGGACCTGCTCTCCACCACTGGCTTGCTGTGATGTTCATTCTGTAATACAGAAACATGACAGGAAACATGATAGACAGTAAATACACATCCAATTAAAAAAAATACACATCCAATTATTTGACAACTACTTGGGGTTTCTCACAGAGAACCAAAGACATGTTAGACACATAATAACAATTTAGTAACTATAATAACAATTAAGTAGGTATTTTAAGAAACAAGCCCTGGGCTGGGGATTTAGCTCAGTGGTTCTGCCTCCTGCCAGGCAAGCACAAGGTCCCCAGAGTTCGATCCCCGGTACCAAAAAAAAAAATTAAAAATCAAGCCCGGAATCCACACAACCCCCCTGGGACTGGACCTTCCTAACCAGCTCATTCCCCCATGGCTCAGCCCTGGGACCACCCCCTGCTCGGTGCCCACAGCCCACAGAGGAGGACAGGCCATCGGGAGTGCTGGGTGATAGGACCTCCAAATATGATAAAAGGGAAATATTAGAACTCCCAACCTGTTAGATGTCTATAACGCCAAGTTCATGTTCTCTAAAACTGAAGGATGAATCCTAGGAACAACAGAGGTTAAGAGTAGGAAATGTTGGCCTGGGATTTAGCTCAGTGGTGCTACGCCTGCCTTGATTGAAAGTGCAAGGTCCTGAGTTTGATCCCTGGTACTGCAAAAAAAAAAAAAGAATAGGAAATGTTTATTGAGAGTATAGCTCCTGAGAGGCAGCAGGGCTCGGGAATGGGTAGCTGAGGATCCCACTTTTCGGGGGAAGTTTGATAGAGCAAAGAACACATGGGTAGGGCCAGGGATTTAGCTTAGTGGTTTCGTTGCCTGCTGTGCAAGCACAAGGACCTGAGTTCGATCCCTGGTACCAAAAAAAAAAAAAAAAAACAACACATGGGTACAATGTGGGTTAAAGCTATGAACGACCAATAAGGTTATGAGTACAGTCACTGAGGTAATAGTGATCCAATGGGGGGGGAAGCAAGTCACGTAGCAAAAGTGCATGGAAAGAACAATGAGTTTTTCTAAGAAATGATGGGTCCGAAGGTCTTGGTCACCAACCACAGTGACGGATGTCTATCTAGACTTCATTAGGCCAGGTGTTATCACTTATCTTGTCCTTAGGGGAAGTATATAGGCCTGGTCATTTTGTCTTTATCTTGAGGCCTGGTCTTTAACAGATGCATCTCTGGCCACAGTTGTACTGTATTTTCATCTTTTCTGTTGACTCTGTGGAGGGCCCAGCCCAACTGACTGCCTATAATATTCCTACCTAACTTAGCTGTCCAAAATAATGAGACAGCGGCTTTCTTCTGTCTCGGTGGACATTTGTGCATGGAGAACAGGAATCCAGACAATGGGAATAAAATCCTTCCCTTTGGGACACAAGTGAATTCCCCCTCATTTCAATCAACCTTATCTGCTTCTAAACAGGCAATTTAATCAATCCTCCCTTGTGGAACAAAAAAGCCACATACCCTCCCCAGGGAACTGGGGTAATAAGAAAGAGCAAAGTTTAGTGTTACTCTTTGATAAGAGTCTTGTTTGAACAAGATCACATAGAAAAGCTTTTCTGGTCCCCACACCCTTCTCTTCGGGGCTCCCCTCTCTCCTTTCTTCTTCCCTGGCTTGTATGATGGCAAGATTGTACAACCCAGAGGTTCCGCTGGTCTCTCTCACACACTTCCCCTGAGGCCTGGGTTAATCCCTCCGTTGTTCACCCTCCCTCCTCTGCCTGGAGTCCAGCTGGAGTAGGGGTGCTGCCTGCCCCTCTTCTCCTGGGCCCTTCCCCTTGGTGCTGGCTCATTGATATTTTGAAACTAGAGCAAAGTTCAGTACTGTGTTTGGATTCAGCGACAGAAAAGTTGCTGGACCCTGATTGGAAGAAAGCAGACAATCATCACCTGAGAGAAGTTCAGCCTTGTAGGGACAAGTTTCTGGGGTAAGTCTCTGGCCACACAGAAATAAGCAAAGAGGAACAGCCATTCACACCACTCCAAGGTTTTGTGGTGGCTGGGTTTTTTGGTTTGTTTTTTTCCACTGAAGTTGTGCTTCTTGTTTTGCTGAAACCTGAGATAACAGGTGAACCCTGCTGGTTGAGGTGTGCTCTGCTCAGCTGAAAGGGCAGCTGTGGGGACAGAGTGTCCTCCCTCCTGTCACAGGCTGTCCCCTCCAGCCTTCCCTCTGAAGATCGCTCCCTGGGCAGCAAAGTGCGAGTGATACCACTGCAGCCTGGTGGGCGGTGGTAAGTGGAGGAGGCAGCAAACCACACCTGCCTGGGGTTGTTGCAGCGAGGTGGAGACTGGGCCACAGGACCCCAGGGTCATGGGCCCCGTTCAGCCTGATCTGCTGGATTCCCAGCCAGGCCCGCAGCCCTTTGCATGCAACTTCAGGCACATTCCACAGCAGCTGAAAGGGCTTTTGTCCGCACAGAGGAAGAACAAACAACAAAGGCAACTGTATGTCTCCTGGCCGCCCACACAGCAAGCTTAGAAAGAAACTTACTCTCAGAAGTCCAGCTTTCTCAGCATGGCTGCAGCCCCAGAGGTGGTGAAACGCGGCCTGGGAGGAGCATGCATCTGGGTTCTCATGCGAGTGGCATGGTGCTACTACACACACAGCACACACAGTCACACAGACACACAAACTGCCGGTGTGCGGGCCCTGGAAGGCAGCCAGGCCCGCCCTCCGGGACCATGGCTGTCCTCGGCCCTTGGGGCCAGCTTGGCACCAGCCATACTACGCTTGTCTTTCCCAGCCTCACAGCCTGGACCCATGAAGAACTATGGGCAGGATGGAACAAGATCTGCTTTCAAAAATCTGTCCCGGGTCCCTTCACACACAGGGCTCACGGCCCGTGGGCAGGGCCAGAAGTCCAGGCTGCCCATGGGAGACAAATTCCCCGGAAGGAATCATTCCAGTCAGGGAGGCTGGAGCTCCTGGTACTCTTTTCTCCCTCCCACCTTCCCTGTTCTCCTGTAATTGCCGAGATAGGAGATTGATGGTTGGGAGGGCTTTAAAATCTGTCAGAGGCAAAAGCTTTTCTTCCAAAATGAAATAATTGTGCATTATTTTATTGGACTCTGTGGAGAGAATAACCCATTCCATTTCCTCTGCAGATTTGGCCACCAGGGTGCTCGGGTACATCGTAACAGTTGTCTGACCCGGCATCTGTGTTTAGGTTTTGTGTCTTGGGTCAAGTTTAAATATTGTAGGTGAGTCAGACGGGTAATCCTAGCACTTGTGAGGCTGAGGCAGGAGGATGGAAAGTTTGAGGCCACCCTAGACCACATATTGAGTGCAGAGCCAGCCTAGACTACATAATGAGATCCTGTCTCAAAAAAACAAAAAACAAACAAACAAAAAAACAACTTATTGGGGCCAGGGATTTAGCTCAGTGGTTCTGCTGCCTGCCTTGCAAGTGGAAGGACCCGAGTTCAATTCCCAGTACCAAAAAAAAAAGACAGAAAAACAACTTATAAGGAATCTTTGTGCTGTGAGAAAAAAAAAATTGTGGAGCTGAGAGAGTTGGGAAATCTAAGTATTGTTCCAGGTTCTGCCTGACTGACCAGTTCCAGGTTGAGCATGGTGTCCTCCTTTCTCCCTAGGACGCCTTTTCCTTGTTTGTGATACCTGTTCTTGTCTCCCAAACTTACCTGTTACAGAGTCACCTGGGGTGCTGACTAAGTAAGCAGAGAACCAGGGCCCTACCCTGGGATGCAGGAGTGGGGCTGGAGTCCTTCCCCTTTCCCCCACCCTGGTACCAGGGATCAAACCAAGGCCTTCATGCTGAGCTACATCCCCAGCACTTTTTAATTTTTTTATCTTGAGACAGGGTCTTCCTAAGTCACAAAGTTGCCTAGGCTGGGCTTGAACTTTCGATCCTCCTGCCTCAGCCTCCCAGAGTGCTGGGATTGCAGATGTGGACTCCTGGCTGGAGTCCACCTTGAAATCAAACAGTCCAGTGGATTCTTATCACCCCAACACCAGGTGGTTGCTAAGGTCTTAGGCTATGCTATGGCCTGTAACTTACATACATGACCTTCTAGAAAGAAGCTGGAGTTTTGAGTGGGGCAATGGATCTTCCATTTACTGAATTATAAGCACTTGAGGGCGTACTTGGCATTGCCCTCAGGTGCTCCCTTCTCCTGTGGCTCTCTGCTGACTTTTACCAGAGTCAGGCCCTGCCTATTCCTCCTCACAGAGGTTCAGCTGCTTCCGGGGGCACAGCAAATATTTCCCCAGACACCTGCCTGACTCGCCGCTCAACACCCTCTCTGGGTGTGAACTCCAGTGTCACCTCTTCGGCAAGGCATTCCTCCCTCCAGCCTTTATTATCTTCCTCCTCCACTTCCCCTCTCTCCTTAGCATTCATCACTAATAACCTACTGAATATTTTATTTTTCTACCTTGCTTGCCATCTGTCCCTCCACTAGAATGTAATCTCAAGGACAAAGATGTTTTTCTGCTTGATCTCTACTAATAACCTCAGTGTCTGGGCTGGAACGTAATATTTGCTCAATAAATATTTGTGGACTCAGTGAATAAGATGCTTGTTGGACAAAGAAATGAATAAACTACAGGACAGGTGTTGGTGTCTAACCTGTGGGAGGTGCCCCTCTAACCCCAGGCCAGGCCCCTCCTTCCAACAAGTGTGCTCCTCCCTTCTTTGCTCTTAAATACTCTGTATTCCACTTGTAACTCATTCCTGGGGGCTGATACTGAGTCCTTTGACCCCACTTGCTCCCCTCCTCTGCCTTCTCTCCCTTCCCACCAAGATCAATCAGGTAAAAATGCCATTTGCTCCACTACACATTAATCCAATTCCCAAGCACACTCCTGAACCTTTTTCTAAAAAACAAAAGTTTATTACTAAACAGAGGGGAGGCCTGGGAGTGTAGCTTAATAGGAGAGCACTTACTTAACATGTATGAGGCACTGGGTTCAATCCTTGGCACAGTAAATTGAATTGAATTAATTAAAGGAGAAAAAAATAATTAATTAAAGGAGGGGAAATAGTAACTGGGAGCCCTCTCTCACCTAGAGAGATGAAACAGGTAGAATCACAGAGCCATGATGAAGGTGAGATTAAGCAGGGGCCTTTAATTGGGGTTTTTCACATCGGGACCTAGAGGAACTAGTTTAGGCACTTTGGCACTTCTGCCATAATTGAGCCATGTTTTAGTATAAGTGAGCATTTTTAGGGGAAAAGTGGTTATATGAGCTCACTGCCAAGAGCTTAGAATAGACCAGCAAACAAAAAGGACAGCCATAGTCAGCACACAGAATGCGCAGTAGTGCCAGATTGACTCTAAGTGGCTTTGCACTTATCAATTTATTTAATCTCACCACAGCCTGTAGAAGCAAAAATTTGCCCCAATTCCAAAGTCAATAAATAGTTCACATACCATGCTTAGGCAAAACAAAAAACAAGACACTATACCTAAGACAAACCAAAAATAGAAGGCTCAACCCTCACTGGTTGTGATATTCAGAAAAATAAAAATAAAGCTTTGACTAGTTCCTGGGAACTTAGACTCCTGAACAGAAAGTTTTATCCCTGATTTTTGCTATGCTGATATCTAAAGGTGTCATGGCCCTTGTGGATGTAATGATCACATGAGAAAGTCACTGGGTTTCCATAATGAGCAGACTAATATAAACTTGGCAGCTATGTTAGTTTTTCCTGGTTACAATAACAAATAATCAGAAACTTGGCGACTTGAAACAACAGAGATGTATATTATCTCATAGCTCTGAAGGCCAGAAGTCCAGAATAGAGGTATTGTGTGACCCTGCTCCCCTGGAGCCTCAAGGAGAGAACCCTTGCATCTTCCAGCTTCTGTGACTCCTGTGGCTTGGGGCTGCATCATGCCAGTTTCTGTCTCTCTATTCATGTGGCCTTCTCTGCCTCCCTTGTTCTCTTCCATCTCCCCTAAGACACTTGTCATTCTAACACAGTAATCCAGGATGAACTCATCTCCAGATCTTAATTACATGTTCCAAGGCCCTTTTTCCAAGTCAGGTCACATTCATTTTCCAGGGATTAGGAGTAAGAGTGTTCCAGAATCCAAGAGACAGGAGAGACCAATGGGAAACAGGAGAACTTTATTTTAGGTGAACACCAGCTCAACAGACTGATGTCCAAGGGAAGAGCCTTGAACAAAGAAAAGTTCCAGTTTTTATACATTTGGTCAAAGGGGAGTTGTCTCTTTAGTGATGTAGCAAGTGAATTTAAAGAAATAGGACAAGGACAGGCAGTTTTGTAACTTTCAAAAGAAAAAAGAGCCTTACAAATCATATGAGAACAGAATATCATAAACTTTGTTTACAGGACATAATTGTCAATTTTATCTGTACCAGAACAAGGAGTTACAGCTACAGGGGAGAGGAAGGGGTGATCTGGGGGCAGGGGGATCTGCCCAAGGCTGGAAAGAACTTATTTTTCCTTAAGTCTTGCCTCAAGGGCATGGGCATACCTTTTGAGGGCCACCATTCAACCTACAACAGTAGTCTTGGTAATTTTGCAGGTTTTATCAGTTTTCGATGCTATTATTATGCTTTTGTAATTGGAGACTCAGTCCTGAAGTCTGACTCTCTTTACTCTTTACAAGTAATTTTTTTCTTTTCATTTCTGAAAGCTTCTATTTCAGTGTTTTCCTTGACCACCCTGTGATGTGGGCTGGTGCTATTCTTATCCCTTAGAGACCAGGAGACTGTGCCAGAGTGGTTGATTACATGTCAATTACATGAATCCCCAGGCAGTCTGCCCCAGAAGCACTGGTACCCATAACTTAGCCACTCAAAAAATAAACAGCATTAGCATGCTGATCTTTTTGAACCCCTGTACTGGAGTCTGAACCCAGAGCCTTTGCACTGAGCTACATTCCAGTCCTTTTTAAAAAAAATTCTGAAATACGTTCTCCCTAAATTGCTCTAGCTGGGGTCAAACTTTTGATGCTCTTGCTTCAGCCCCAAGTGCTGAGACTACAGGTGAACACACCATGCCCAGCTCATATTGATGTTTGAATTTCCAGTCTTTTTCCTTTACAAATATTCATGTGTGTTACTTTACAGACTAAGAATCAACCTGTTCCCATTGTATGATGCATTCTTCAACCTAGTTTTCAGCGGCTGTGATCCTCTATATATGACAATGTGAGTACTCTCACAGCTTTTCATCAGCACACTCACTCGTGGCCCTTTCTGCATGCTTCTGTGCGAGAGGAGAGGTGAACAGGCCAGGATTCCTGTCCCCCGGGGTTGCCTGCCCACCCATGAGGACCATCCAAGGAGCTCAGCTGCTCTGTGCCTCAGCCCAGCGACCTCCCAACCTCCGAGCAGGGCCTGGTGTCAGTGGTTTAGAACCATTAGAAGCTGCCAGGTGATCCCAGTGGCCAGGGCAGACTGAGACCTAAGGCCCCAGTGGCACAAGTTCTCACCTGATGTGCTCTCCATCTGCTCTGTCCAAGGGCTCTTTCCAGGATCCTGTGCCCAGAGGCCAGCTGCTCCGTGGTCACCTCTGGATGGTGGACAAAACCCTGGGTCCTGCACATGTGACCTTAGGGCTTCTTGCCCATGCCCTGGCTGTTCTTCCCACTCTTTTGTCTAGGCCTTTAGGAGAGGAAAAGGGCAGGAGAGTAGGGAGTGGGTTGGGAGAGAATGGCTAGTCTGAAAATTGGAAGGCATGGGCTTTGGTCCTCTCCTGGTGCTCTTGGGGCCCCAGTCCAGACGCTCAGCCTCTGGACAATGGCTACAAACATATGAGTCAGCTCCAAGCCTCCTGGGAATTCACAGGTCGGTGAGGTGACTCCCTGACTTGCCCGAATTCACACCCCATGAGCTTTAGGCTGCAGCGGGCCCTCAGTGGCAGACCTTCAACAATGAATAGCTTGAGCAATTATTCTTGGCCCAAAAGGATCTCATCTTTAATGAAATCTAACAGGCAAAAAAAAGCACTGGTCCTTACCTTCCCCTGAACAGCAGCGAGAGTCATGAATGGGAGACTGGAGGAGCAGAAAGGAGGAAAAAGAGCTGCCTGCTGCCAAAATGCCCTCCCAAGCAATGCTGGGTCCACACAGCGCACCACCCAGCCTCACAGGGCTGAGAGCTGCTTCACCAGGTGGGCTGCGAAATGAAATGAAAATGAACCAGAACCCTTGGGGCTGCAGGTTTTAAGGGTGACAGGAGCCTTCTGAGCATTGATGCAGCTGGGTGCTTCTGTCCCCACTCTGCCCCCACCCCATCCTTTGTGCCACTTGACTCTCTTTCCTGCCCAGCACCCTGACCTCCGCTTCCTGTCACTATCCCAGCTCCCCTCTCCAGCCGCCCTGAGCAGCAGGAGGACCACGCACTGAATCAGACGGATCTGGATTTGATTCCCAGCTCTGTGAGTCTGGGCCAAACTCTCTTTGAGACTCACCTTCCTGTCTAGCAGATGGGGATGAAGATACACAGCTGACACAATGACACAGCTGGCAGAGGTGCTGTGGTCATTATTGAAATTAAACAAAAATATACATAGAGTACCAGGCACAGAGAAGTATGCAATAAATGGAGTTTCTACTATTTTCTCTTTGGAAAGGTCTTACTCTCATATAAATCTCAGCCCTAGTACAAATTTGAATCATATCTCCTTTTTCTCATGTGTCTGAGTGAGGATACTTTTTATTAAATAAACGTTTAATATGACAAGAGGTTGGGGGTAAATCCATAGCTGAACACAGGACTGTTTTTAAAATAAAATGTTCTCTCTCCCTTTCTCTCTCTCTCTCTCTCTCTCTCACATTAGTGCTGGAGATTGAGCCCAGGCCCTCGTGTATACTAGGTAAATACTCTACCGCTGAGCTACACCTTCAGTCCTTTTTACTTGATTCTGAGGCAGAATCTCACTAAGTTCCCCATGTTGGCCTTAAACTTGAAATTCTCCTGCCTCAGCCTCCTGAGTAGCTGGGATTACAGGCCTGCATCACCATACCTGGTCATGAATTTAGTTTAATTATTTGCTCTTAGACCTGTCTTCCTAGTTTTCCTAATGCTAATGTTATTTCTTATACTTCTGTGAGATATAGGGTAAAATAATACTTTTGGAAGAATGTTTAATAGAAAACTAAGGGCCGGGGATTTAGCTCAGTGGCACCGTGCCTGCCTTGCAAGTGCAAGGTCCTGAGTTCAAACCCTGGTACCAAAAAAAAAAAAAAAGACACTATGTAATCATTATCTAACAGATGATTAAACAAAGTCTCAGAGAGGTTAGGTGTCCTCCTCAAGGTCACTTAGCCAAAAAGAAGCAGAGTGGGATCTGGACTCCTAGGGTTTACTCCCTGTTAAGGAACTTTCAGAGAGCAGCAAAGGTATTTGGAAACTGGAAATCTCTTGGCAGGCCCCCAAAGTCTCAAGCTTGCAGCAGCCTCACCCTCAGGACCCCCTGCCTGCTGGGCCACCCTCACACACACACACACACACACCCTTGTCTGCCCCTAAGCCTCAGGTGCTGGCAGTTTCCCATCTCTACTGCTGGAGGTAGCAGTGTATTTGCATGCTGTGGGCCATGAATGGAGCCTGGATCTCAAGGCCACCATGACAAGAGCCCTTGGTCTCACCCTAGAACTACCTGGGGATTGGCCTTGAGCAGGTCCCTTGAGAGTCTCCTTTTTTTTTGGTACAAGGGATTGAACCCAGGGCCTTCACACTGAGCTACATCCTCAGCTTTTTTGATTTATTTTGAGACAGGATCTCATTAAACCAGTGAGTTGCCCATGCCGGGGCCAAACTTGAGATCCTCCTGCCTCAGCCTCAAAGAGTGCTGGGATTACAGGCATGTGCCACCACGCCCAGCTGAGAGCCCCAGCTCTTATAGGAATAACAGCAATGCCTTTTCCTGTAGCTTTGAAGGAGATAAAGTACACAAGACCTCCCTGATAGTCTGAATGTCATAATGTAGAATGTGTTACTTAGCTAAGTGCAAAGATAACCTGTACATAACATGCTCAGAATGTTTAAAGAGCATCTGATGACTTTAGATTTTGAGAACATGTGCAGGGAGACCAACCAGTACCCAAGGTGCTTTAGTCATGGGCCAGGAATAGGTAAATGCATAAGATTAGAGAATTTACCTGATATGCAAACCCAGAGCAAGCAGTGGCAGTAGATGGGGGAGCTGGAAGTGGAGGGTGACAGAGACAGGGCTGGAGCCAGGCCAGTCCAGGCAGCGAGTGGGACCCCCACATCTTATCTGACCCTTCCTAGAGGCTGAGTTCTAGATCCTAGTCCTCTGGTTTGGAGAGTTTCCGGGGCTGGGGAGACACCTCATAGATTTTGCATACAGGTCATTTACATCTCTTTGAATGTCAGAAGCAAAGAACTAGGAGGAGACAGTGGGCCAAGGCTGCTCAGAGGGGTCAAACCACAGGAGTAGGTCCTTCTGATCCTGTGTCTGGGCACGGCTGCCCACCAGACCAGAGCCCTCCAACCCAGCCCCTCCCTGGGTGGTCCCAGACTTGCTGGTCTCGGCCCTGTGGTGTGAAACAGCCGTGCTGCACCCGAAAGGAGAAAGCACCTCACAGTCTTCCCCTGGGCTGCAACAGGCTCCTGACACAATGCTGTCTCTGTTTCAGATGACAGTGGCCTGAGGTGACCTGTGCACACCTGCTGCTCCTCAGCTGACCAGTTAATATTCCTAGAGATTCCAGGAAAGACACAGTGCTGAGTTGGACCAATGGAGACACCCAGAAGATGGCAGGCTTGTCCCTGCCCTCAAGGAGTTCAGCATGTAGGAGCTTAGGAAGGGCTTGGTCACCTCAGGGCTCACCGAGAGCACAGGGGAAAGGCAGCTCGGGAAGTGCCTTCCTCCCCACTCACTCAAGCACCCCAAGTGCCTCTGCTGGCATTTGCTGGCATGCCAGCATGCCTACCCGGTGCCTGCCCAGGAACTGCACCTTGTGGAGAGTGACTGCCACCCAGCACTGCCTTTGCAGGTGGTACTGGACTTTCCAGGGGCCGAGGAAGGGAAGCTGAGGGACACAGCTAGGAGCCCTTGCTGCAGGCCAGCATGGTGTCAAGAGCCATTGCTCGGATCAAAAGACTGGGTGCTGGGCACTGGGGCTGGGAGGTGTTTGCTAGCAGTGGGGACACAGGGAGTTGGGAAGGAGGGCCCAGCTCAGAGTTGCCTCACCAGTCCAAAGCCCCCATGACCCACCGCTCCAGGTGGCCCCACGGCTTCCTGGTGTCATGCAAGCTAAGGAGTGGTGTTTCCCCTGGAAGCCACAGAAGCCATTGAAGAAGAGCGGTGACAGCCATCTGTGTGACAGCTCCTTGCAGCTGGAGGGCTGGGCCGGGCCACAGGATGAGACAGAAGAGGAGCAGATTTCTGTCCTCCTCGCTCCCCAAACAAACAGAATACTGACCTCTGGACTCAACTCTGGCAGTTTAATACTCATCTTTAAATTTTAGGCCCAAGACAGTGGCCCTTATTTTAATATGGGTAATCAGCAACTGGATACAGCAGGGTGTGGTGGTGCATGACTCTAATCCCATCTGTGTGGGAGGCTGAGACAAGAAGATTGTAAGTTTGAGGCCAGCCTGTGCAACTTGGTGAAACTGTCTCAAAATTTTGTATGAACTTGGGCTGGGGATTTAGCTCAGTGGTTCCGGTGCCTGCCTCGCAAGCGCAAGGTCCCAAGTTCGATCCCCAGTACCAAAAAAAAAAAAAAATTGTATGAACTGGGTATGGTGGTGCATACCTGTGATCCCAGCACTTGGGAGGCTGAGGCGGGAGGATTGTGGTGAATTCAAGGCCAGCCTGGGGTTCACAGTGAGTTCAAGGCCTGCCTGAACTGCATATTGAGAAGTTGTCTCAAAAAAAGATATTTGTTTGTATGAAACTTCCTTGTTTTACTTTAAGGACTACATAGTGTCCATAGTATGCACCATAATTTACTTTCCATCTCTCTATTGTTGGGCATTTTATTTCCATTTTCTTTATCTTACCAGAATATGCTTGAGATATATGATAAATACATTCATCACAGGGAACCCATACATATTCCTATAGTATCTTTGTCCTTTTCACTTCCCCTTCTCCTCCCAGCCCTCCCATCTCCCTCCACTCCCAGATTCCTTTCTCATCTCCACAAAGTCAAAATAAAAATGTTTCAAGGGCTGGGGCTGTAGCCCAGTGGGAGTTTCCCTAACATCTATGAGGCCCTGGGTTCAAGCCCCATACCGAATGGGGGAAGGAAAGCGGGAACTGTTGATTCAGGTGAGTGAGGAAGGCTGTGCTGCGGGCACAGCCCAGCAGGTGGCTGCTAGGACCAGCTCCTAAACTCAGCCTTGGAGATGGGAGCGAGCCGGGAGAAGCCAGGGGCTGGGGTCAGGCCGACCTGAGTCTGGATTGGGGCTGGGCCGCTTACTAGGAAAGGGACACTAAGAGTTTCATTCAATCTCTCGATCCTCTTTCCTTACCTTTAAAACAGGGTTCATCATCCATCTCTTGCACGATTGTGGAATCACAGAATGAATTCAAAGTGACTCTCGCATTTGGCACTCAAGAAACCCTAGCTGGTGCTTTCTTCCTTGTGGAGCAACACTGCCCCTCAGTGGTCAAACTGGGAATAACAGGTGTGCAGGACTCTCCTTGCCCTGCTTCTGCCCAGGGGAGGAAGAGCAGATAGCCCGGCTTACGCTTCTCACGGAGGCCTGAGCTCTGCTCCGGTCAGCAGGTAACGACTCCCTGGTCCTCAGTACCAGAGAACTACAAGCCCAGTCTGAACCTTGGGCTGGGAAGAAAACACAACCTCGAGTAATCCGAGATCGGCTCTTTAGAGGTGGCTGTGACCTCCAGTTCCCCTTCCCCGCCGCTAAGAACAAAGAGCGGAAAGCAGGAAGACGACCACGAGCACGGTACCACGGTACCAGGCAGCCCTTGACAAAACAGGAAGGAAAGGCACTCAACAAACACACAGCGAGCACCTGCCACGCCTCTAATACTGTGCCTGGCTGAGATAGCCAGCAAAAATACAGCTGTCTACGCCAGGCTTGGCGGTACAGGCCTGTAAACCGAGCAGTCCTTGAGGCTGAGGCAGGATTGCAAGTTTGAGATCTTCATGGGCAATTTAATGACTTAGGGAGATCCTGCCTCAAAATAAAAAATTGAGAAAGGGCTGGGATGTAGCACAGTTCAATGCCCAGTACTGGGGCAGAGGCAATTACCCAGATACAGAATTGCAGGCTATGACAAAGATGTGAAGGAAAGGCTCCAGGTCTGACCCTACCTGGGACAGGACAAGGTGTGCTCCTTGGTGCTCCCGAGGGCCTCATGAGCATCTACTGCCCCAGGTGCTGGGCCACGAACCTGTGCACAGGGCAGTTTTGAGTGCCCACTGCTTTGGGATGTGGGCAGATGTGTCTCTGAGCTGTCCACTCCTCCAGCTGGCAGACTCGAGTCAGGGAACTCACCAAAGAGTAGATAGGTGTTCCTAGGAGCAGAAACACCATGTTCAAAGGTCCTGAGGTGGTGTCTTTGAGCAAGCGCAGCCGGTGCTCAGAAATCACCAGAGCAGTAGCAAGGGCAAAGCCAGCAGGCACTAGAGCCCTCACAGCCAGGAGGGTGCCTGGTCCCGATCCTGACAAGGGTGGGAACCCCAGCCAGGCTCCTGCCTCCTGGCCACCCTCCCCTCCCCTCCAGAGATAAGTCTCCTGCTGGCTGCCTCTCTCACTGCACAGAGCGCATCCCCCCCAAATCGTCCCTGGATTTTATTCCTTCCTCCTCTCCTCCCAGTAGCACGCTATCAAGTTGGTGTCAAGTTTCCTTCCTGACTTAATTCCACAGGAAAATCCTGCTAAATAAAAACTGACATTACAAACCACACTCTCTCTTGCAGGCTTCAAAAATTCCTTGCCAGGCCTGGGTACCTATCCCTGTGCTAGATCAGCCTGAAGCTGAATGAGAAAACACTGTGGCCTCAAGGGCTTCCCATCCTGCCCTGAACCCTCGCAGCCAAGCCAGCTGCCCCATGAGGCTGGCAGCCTGCTGCATGGATGTTACACTTGTTTTCTCTCTCGCTGGCTCTGAACATCCGGGTCCTTGCCCAAGAACCAATCAGGTGGCTACCTGTCCATCCTGAAGACAGTTTGAGGTCCATCAAAAAAGACTGCTGGACCTGAGGTCTGAATTGGGTTTGGAACCTGGCCCTGCCAGTCTTAAAGCTGTGTGTCCTTAGGCAAGGTTCTCGACTTCCATGAGCCTGAGTTCCTTCCTAAATGGAGCAGGGGTAAACAAGACTCCCTGTGTACCTTGCAAAGTGTTGGTGTGGATCGAGTGAGGTACTGGGGCTGGGGCGTGGCTCGGTGGTAGAGCACTTGACCAGCATGTGTGAGGCCCTGGGGTCCATTCCCAGCACCATCAAAAAAGGGGAAAAACGAGGTACCACTGTGTTCCCCAGATGGGGGTCCTTAAACAGGTGCCACCGTGAGGAGATTTTTATCAGCCCACTGACCTATGAGGAAAATAAGGGCAATGGAAAGAGGCTCTTACCAAGGGAGGGCCACCCAATTTACAGGACTGACCTGTGACAGCACATCCTTCTCGGACTTATTTGCACTGAAATTACACCAACTGTGAAATGATGGTGATGTTCAAAGACTTAAATTTTTTTTAACATTTAAAAAGCGTAGCTGGGCATAGTGGTGCACGCCTGCAATCCTGAGCCTCCCTCACTCAGGAGGCTGAGGCAGGAGGATCACTGTGAGTTCAAGCCCAGCCTGGATTACACAACAAGAAAAACCCTGTTTTTCTGTTTCAAAAAACCCCTAAGTAAAATAAATAAAGCTTTGGGCCGGGGTTTAGCTTAGTGGTTCCACCGCCTGCCTTGCAAGTGCAAGGTCTGGAGTTTGATCCCTGGTACCAAAAAAAATAAACAAATAAATAAAATAAATAAAGCTTTTACTTGACAAGTACCCAACTTGAAGGGAACTCAGTGGTCTATAAATCCTCAAAACATCTGGAGTAGGGGAAGCAGGAAGCCTCTGCCACCTGATATGCCATCTGCCCTTACTGCCCTTGCTCTTGCTAGAGCTGGCATCCTTGTCAGGGTTCTGAGGTCAGGGCCAGGCTCTTTGATCCTGTGTTTAACAGCATGGACGGGTAGTCCCAGCTGCTCAGCAGGGTGAGACGGGAGGATCACTTGGGCCCAGGAGTTCGAGGTCTGCCTGGGCAGCAAAGTGAGACCCCGTCTCTAGTGGGGAAAGGAAAAAACTAGGGGAAAAAGGAAAAGCACAGATGCTGGACTGGGCTTAAGCACCAGTGTTGGCACTTTCTAGCTCTGCGTGACCTTCAGTGGGTTTCCTTGCCCCCCATGTTCATGGAAGTGCCCAGTGGTGCGGATCAGATGTGCACACTGTGGGTACTCACTGGATGTTAGCCATGGTTGTCTCACTTTCCCTGTCAGCCTAAGCTCACCAGGTCACAGCTGCCTGTGCCAAGTCAGAAGCCACTGCACCCTCTCTGCTTCTCTTTTCCATCTTCAAGGACTGTCCAGATCTGCTTGGGGGCCAGGAAGTCACTGGGAAATAAATGTATAGGTCTATTCTAAGCAGAGGAAGAAGAAGAGGAGGTGCGTGTGTGTGTGCGTGTGTGTGTGTGCGTGTGTGTGTGTGTGCGTGTGTGTGTGTGTGTATGTGTGTGTGTTACTGGGGAATGAGCCCAGCTTTTCCACTGAGCAGCATCCCCATCCCTTTTTATTTTTTATTTTGAGACAGGGTCTCCCTAAATCACTAAGGTGCCCAGGCAGAGCTTGAACTTGCAATCCTCCTGCCTCAGCCTCCCGGGAGTATGCAGGTATAGTAGTAAGCCTGTCTAAAAAGGAGTTTTAAAACTATACTTTTCTTTTAATCTAAAAATCTACCCTTTGACTGGCAAATGAGGAATTGCTTCCAGAGTCTCAGCCACCATGTGCCAAAGCAAAGCCAGGAAAATAGGGGACCTGGAGAAGCACCTGCTGGGCAGAGGCCAGGTGTTTGTAGAAAAACTTTCTCTAGGACACACCCCACAAGACCATCTGCTCATGTCAGTTGGGTGTGCTCTCAGCCATTCACTAGCAGGACCTTGTCCCTCTGTGATGACAGAATGGCAGGACACTGGAAGGTTCCCATAAGAAAAAACACGGCTTGGCTCCTGGGCTGGGCCATTCTGAGGTAAGATTTTTTAAAAATAATGAAAATAGAAAGGAGACAAGTAAAACTATAGCATTGAAATTGTACTTTCTTGGGCCAGGGATTTAGCTCAGTGGTTTCGCCACCTGCCTTGCAAGTGCAAGATCCCGAGTTCAATCCCCGGTACCAAAAAAAAAAAAAGAAAGAAAGAAAGAAAGAAAGAAATTGTACTTTCTTGTGTGTTGTGGGGTTTTTTTTGGTACCAGGGATCAAATTCAGGACCTTGCGCTTGCGAGGCAGGCGCCGGAACCACTGAGCTAAATCCCAGGCACAGAAATTGTACTTTCTTTAAAAACAAAAAACAAAAATCAAAAACTGTAGCTTCAGGACACAAAAGTTATTCAAGTTTTTTTTCCCTTCCAGGGGAAAAAATAGGGAAAAAAACCTTCTAAGAGTCTGAAAGACAATCAGCCAGTACACTGGGCTCTGGGCCTAAGCCACTTGTAAATTGCATTCCCTCCTACCAACCCCCTCCTTAGGAAGCCATCCCAGAGAGGACAGCAGATCTCAGCTTCAAACACAGGTAAATTGTTTGCATTTTAGCATAGACCACCAAAAGGGCAAACTGCACAGACAGCAGAATGCACATCCTAGATAATTCACCTTAGGGGAACCGAGTCCCCATGACTACACCAAGCTCAGCTTGAGACCACAGGGGCCTCTCTCCCTCTACCCTGTTCTTGTAAAATTCTGTTTACTAAATCTCTTTATGTTTCTTACTGATGGATCCTGAAAATTCTTTTTCTGTGATAAAGTTCAGCCAACCTGCAACCTGCCCTGTTGATGGGGTGAGTGTAGGTTCCCTGTCTCCAACTTGGGGACCTCCTCAGACCTGTCCAGTGACAATCCCACCCAGAATTTAGCCAAGGAGACATGATGCAGAGTCCTGGACTTCTAGAACAAGCTGAGAATGCTAGCTAGTTTCCAGCTCCACACTGCTGAGGGTCAGCAACTGATTCCCTCTGTTATAGATGGCCAGAGGGGGCACATTTTGCTTTCGCCTGTAGCTTTGGGATATCTGGATATTGTAAACTGGAAGTTTGTAAGCAAAGACATTTCTTTCTTTCTTCCCTCCTTCCTTCTTTCCTCCATTCCCCCCCCTCCCCCGCTTCTCTGTGGTAGTGGGATTGAACCCAACTTTCACACTTTTTAACAAGTACCCCAAGAGAGCTACACTTGTATCAAGCACCAGCAAGGTAGTCTCCTCCAGGATACAGTTTGGAAATTGCTGAACTGAATTGTTCAGCACGCTGCTCTCCTTGTGTGTATTCAACTCCTACCGCTGGGATTTGGGTTTCTGCTCACTCAATTCTTAGAATCAGAAACTTACAGGGTTGACAGGAAACTCAGGGTCACCTAACCTAGTGCTGCTCAAAACAAACACCTGGGAATCTTCTTAAAATTCAGATTCGGATTCAGTGGATCTGGGGTGGGGTCTGAGATCCTGCATTTTCTAACAAGTCCCATGTGATGCTGGTGCTGCTGGTGCAGGGATCATTGTTACGTAGCAAAGGGCTAGTCTGGAGGACAGGCTTTTCTGTTAAGGGCCAGAGAATGATAGGTTTTGTGGGTTCTCTGATCTCTGTCCAACTATCAATCCTAGAGTTGTGGCACAAAAGAGGCCATAGACTATATATGTAAACACAAACAATTCCATGTTGGTAAAACTTTATTTACAAAAGCAGGCAGCCAGCATAGTTTGCTGACCCCTGCACTGGTCCGTCTATCTTGGTTATTAATAGATTGCTGCACAATTATTATGAGAACGGATCCCTTCTCCCTATGCTCACATTCATACAATTAGATCCGAATGAGCTAAAATGAAAATTCCTTCCACAAGTGTTCTGCCAGTCCTTTCCCACTCCTTCTTCCCTATAAAATTGATCCACTCCACCTATCTTCGTACTTACAGAGAGGCCTGCCGAGATGCCAATGACAATGACCCTCTTCTTCCCAGCAGCCACCTAGGAGAAGAGAACGGACAAAGTAGCACAACTGGGAGGACTCCAGGGTACAAACCTATTGTGTGGAGGCGTCAGGGCCAGGACCCAGGTGAGGGGACAGGGTTTGGCCAAGTGTGGGGGCCTTTTATGTCCCCATCAGACATGTGGTTGAACATTAGTGGAAGAAAGCACAAACCTTCTTCAGCTCCTCAATTCTGTGCAGGGTGCTGTCTTCCTTCCCCTCCCTGGAGGCCACCACAGACCTAAGAAGGCAGATTCCAAGTCAAGGACATTCATTGGGAAGCAGAAGCCTATGGTTTATTGGGGAAGGGAAGGCCACACTGAGGGAAGGGAATGAAGGAAACTGTCCCGGAATGAGAACCCACTGTTTTGATGGGTGTCATGATAGATGCTGGCTCCATAGAGTCAAAAAGCTCAAATACCGACAAGGGCCAGTTGGGCACCCTAAGTAGGTGCAGTGTGTCAAATGGAGGGCAGTAAGGAGTGAGGGGGCTGAGGCGTTTTGGACAAGATACTTGTCTAGAGTCATTCCAATTCAGTTTCCAAAAGATACATATTCAGCCCAAACCAAACAGCTCAGGCCAAGGTAACTTATCTGTCACCTCCTGCAATGAGGTAGGTGTAAAGAGGTTTTTGTCCTAGACCTGTCATCAGCTGGTTAAAGGAGACCTGTGTCAAGGGGAAAGGAGGTAAAGAAGTAATGATACTGAACAAACAACTTGGATTTTCAACTCCTAGCAGAAAGAAGCTACCGAATGATTCTCTTAGGGTAGTGCTTAACCCAGTCCTACTTGGAATCTGCGCTGCAGATGCTATGTGGAGATGGTTAATTAGGGATGTGTGGGGTGTAGGGACATTAGCAACAGACTGGCGGAGTCTCAGTGGGCTCAGGAGAAATGAGATCCATGGTGGGAAGAGAAAGAGAGAGCCCACCTAGAAATTAACTATGATGAGCTTCATGGTCTTAGGGCTCATCCCCAGAGGGAGACTGACGAAAATCGGACCAGGGTACTCACCGACATGAGGAATGTCATCCATCCAGAGGTGCCCCCTCCACTCAGCACCGCCAGCCCCCCATCTGGCTCCTGAGGAAGGAAAGATGCCTAGGTCACCATGGCCCAGCTAGGCCAAGGGAAATATGTTCTTTTCTTTGTTAGTAATGGAAGAGAAGTTAAAGGGCCTCCTTTATCCTTCCTCTCATCACAAAGTTGAATAAAATACAGGCCCTGAGGGGCAGCAGAAAGAACACTGGATTGGAGAAAGAAACTGGAATATGACTCCCATCTCTGGTTTAACTGCTTATCAACCCCTTATTTATTCTGGAAGGGACTGACAACAACATAGTCACC